ATAGAATAATTATTATAAAAATAGTAATAAATCATTGGTCATTTATTTTTATGATTCAGAAATATAAAATGTAAGTGACTTAAGAATTTAAAAGGGTTCAACTTGCCTGTTGTGAGTTTATGTATTTTTGCATTGTTACGGAGAGTCATCTGTAAGGAAAAATAATGATTTTAAAAATATTTGTTTACCTTTATTCATTCATGATGGATACAAGTTAATCTTCAATTTATATATTCAGTTTCATTTATGTGATAATAAAATTGTCTTTTATTCAAGAAATCTTTGCCTTGTTTCATCATTTTTTACACACCCCATACATGTTTGTGACACCCTGGAAAACAAAATACATGCAATATAATGATGATATCACTTCAAATGAATAGCTTGATAGTTACTTCAGTCATGTTAAGCAAAGAAATGATCATATACCAGTTTTGTTCCTTTTTACAAGAAAGGCCCAACTTTGTGCACAAAATCCCCAAACACACCCCAGCATGGACATATTTGAAAGTCATCTAATTTCACTATTTCTTATTATTTTTTCAAACTAAGGTTATTTTTTCTTTATTTACACTTACATAAGATCAAAACACCAAAACAAATGTGGCTTGCGGTGCCTATTCTCGCATTTAACATTGGTGGCAGCGGTAGGATGGCAGAAGGGGAAGGAACTAGATATTTCCGGCCAGTGGCTATGCCTGAGAAGTTTTCTGGTCGTGAAAACTGGGAAGAATGGCTTGAGGAATTTGAGCTATGTGCGAGATGAATGCCTGGGGTGGAGAGAAGAAAGCTAAGTTTTTGGCATTGTGTTTAACAGAAGAGGCTAAATCTATATATCACAGTTTCAGTTCGGATCAGACGAGGGACTTTGATCTGTTATGTGAACGTTTCCAGACTCATTTTGTCACCAGAGGAGAGGAGAAAGAGCTATAAAGCTGAGTTACAGGCAGTGACTTTGAAAGAAAAAAGTGTGTGGATTTATGCAGCTGAAGTGAGGAAGGAGGCACATAGAGCATACCCAACTATGAGAGCTGGTGATGTTGACGAGTTAGCTAAGGACCAGTTTATCAAGGGACTTGAGCCAAGAACATTACGACTTGCAGTGGCACAGATGCTAATACAGGAAGTTTGGATGAAGCTGTGAGAGAAGCATCACAGTGGCTCACAATTGAGAAGATTGATCATGTTGATCAACAATCTGTGTCAGCACCAGTAGCGCCAATTATAAAAGATGAAGTTGTTAAGAAACTGTCAGATCATCAAGAAAAGATGATGGTATTCATATCTCAGCAGCAAGAAGTGTTCACGGGTATGGCAGATACCTTAAAGAAGATTTCATCTGGACAAGGTGACAGGAACGTCCGTTATGGTCACCGGACATGCTACAACTCAGGACAGCCTGGACACATACAGAAATTTTGCCGGTGACCCAGGTGGGATTTAAATGAGTAGGAGTCAGGGGAAGGGGTCATTCCTCGGTTCATGTCAAAAAGATAGTGAGACCCAACTAAAAGAAACAAGTCTTTCTACATGTGAAGTTGATAGTCATGTTTTATATGCGTCAGTGTATTTGGAAGGAATCCGGGTGGATGGAATGGTGGATGGTGACAAACATATCACCCGTGCGGACAACAAAGCGTTCCGCAAATCATGTCAGAAGCATGGATGGCAGACGCCTTACCAGACTAGGTCAGCATGTCGATCTACAACCCTCTCCAGGTCTGTGCAGTTTCTGCTGTGCAGTCTATACCTCCTGTATCAACCCAGCTTGTTCATGTCCCAATATAGCTCAAATGTGTGTTAGGTTGTTTGTTTTTATAGTGAGTGGAACAGTGTAAATTAGGAGAATGCTCCTTCGACTTCAAAAGTATCATCTTGACGTCAATTACAAGAAAGGCTCTGAAATGTACATCGCAGATTTCCTCTCCCGGGCTTCTTTTCCAATGAGAAAGGTAGAACCTTCACTCAATCTGAAAGACTATGAGATATTCCCCATCTCCTGTGACGCCTCATTCACCAGTGAACTAGAAGAAGTCAGTGCAGCCGAGTACATTCCTGTCACTGTTCAGAGACTTGATCAGACTCAACGCTTACCAGATCAACACACTCTACAGGCTTTCAAGTCAACAGTTCTTGCTGGATGGCCAGAACTATGAGAAGAAACGCCTGTGTGCATCAGAGATTTCTGGAACTTCAGGGAGGAATTAACTGTACAGACTAGTGTTCTGTACAGAGGCTGTCGTGCTGTAATTCCTCCAGCTCTCAAACCAGAAATGCTTCAACACATTCATGCCTGCCATCTTGGAGCTGAAGCATGTGTTCACAAGGCTCGTGATGCCGTGCAGTGAGCTCACAAACAAACAGCATATGGAACTACCGACGACGCATGAAATTCTGGAAGGGGCATGGAGCAAGATAGGTGAGGATCTCATCACTCTGGATGCTGATGATTACCTTGTTGAAGTATGCAGAGTTGGAAGAACCTCAGTTTGCACAAATAGAGAAGATATATGTTGTTCATCAAGCGAAGTTTATTGAGTGTGCAGTATTGGAAATAACTGAATTCAGTTCACACCTCAACACATTTGAATGCATTCAAACTGCAAGAAAGAAATGTTTGGATATGGTGGACTTGAGGTACAAATGGCCCGCAATCATTGTACAACATAGAAGGTAAACTAATGTTTGCTCTCCACAATGTAGATTTCGCATGGAGTTTGTAACTTTCAAGGTCTGTTCATTATGACTAACACTTCTGCAAGTGTAGTGTGTAATCTGTTTGAACTGTCAACTGACAAAATAACTAGTTATGAAACTTTTTCACAGATAACGAGGTAGATGGATTCAACTTGTTAGAAATGAAGGAGTCAGACATATTTCTAATGTTGCCCCGGGAAGATTGGACCTGCCAGAAAACTGACTGCATTACTATCCAGACTTGATGGTGAGCTAAAAGAGCAGGATCGAAAACATGCTAAATGAAGCATTTGTGGACAAGGTGAAACAGTACAGGAATCTATGGCTGACAATCAATCTTCTCTGACTGAACATGCTGAAAGTGAACCTCCTGTGATTGAAAGTGAAACACAGGTAATTCAAATCTGATAATTTCTGATAACTAAAACAAAAATTTAATTTGTGGTTGGGAAAACAAAATAAATGATAAGAGTTAAAGACATTTTAAAAAGGAAAACGATGATAACTGGGGTTTTTTCTTGAATAAAATTATTGGGCCTTATAACAGGAAGATATATATATATACTGTAAATCAACAAACTAATGAGTGTATTAAATAATGCGAGGAGACAAATCAGGAAATGGTTGACCAGAATGACTATACTCACTAATGACTACACTCACAACTTTGGGAAATACTATACTAGTATACTGACTGACTGAGTTTAGTTTTAAGCCGCTTTTAGCAATATTCTAGCAACATCACGGCGGGAACTAGTATACAATCCGACTCTAGTGTAAACATCTTAATTCTCCGAACACATGGGCGTTTGGATCAAAGACGGCTTTCCTTTCAACTGTTAGTACTAGTAATTGACAGTAGAGAGGATGATCTCAGTTACTGCCAGGGGAATTGTTAAGCATGAGAATTCCTCGCTGTTGCAGGAAAATGGTGGCCAAATAAAGATAAACAAAAGTTGGTCAGACTCCTTTTACGCAGATACAACTTTGTAAAGAGGAAAGCAACTAAAGCTGCCAGGAAACTACCATCTGATTATGACACAACACGGGAAGAGCTCATTACAGAAATAGGGGAAGTAGTTTCGTCAAAGTCAATCCCAGCTGACCTCATAATAAACTTTGAATCATTTCTTCAAACTCTGAAAAAGAAACATTTTGAAGTTCGCTTTGTTCCGGCTGGGTGCACTGGCTAGTTACAGCCGATGGACCTATCAGTGAACGGAGAATTGAAAGGGATAATGAAGGAACAATTCACCGAGTGGTATGCCGACAAAGTGGCAGCTAATCTCAAGACAAAAGACGATGACAAACGTGTTGATTTGAGGACTAGCGTCATGAAACCTGTTCATGCTCATGTAAACTAGACTGTTTATTCAAAGACTGTAATACAACTTAAATGATTAGTGCTCAATCTTTTTTCCCCAGAATGTATTTTACTTGTTGATATAATATAATGTCGATGTTATTGAGGCAATAATGGAATTTTTGTGAATCAATCGTTCGTCTTCGTTCACTGGGTTATCGTGACCCAAATACTAGTTATAACGATATCGAGTGCAAAAGACAATATAATAACGCGAGATTTATTAATGCGCTTCAGATATAGTCGCATTTTTCGTATTAATAAGTAGCTCACATTATTTTATTGATTTACAGTATATATGCACACAGTATTACTATTAAAGGACCAAAGTTGTTAATACTTTGAATGAAACTTCTTGCAGTTCTAGTTTTTACTCTGCACTGTTTGTATATATTCACAATGTGTTAACTGAAACCTGATTACATTTATCATGTTTACTGCAAAAAAAACTTACAATTATCAGTATTGCTTTTCAGGAGATTAGTATGGACCTGTTAGAAGAAACACAAACTGTCCAACCTGCCCCAAACAACTCAACAGAATCATCACCCTCAACATGCTCAGTGACAGGCTCTAAACTTTCAGTTGAATCTCATCATCCTACTTACTCAAAGACAGTTCAGTCGTTGCTGGACAATGGCAAAATTATGGAGGAGTGATTCAAGTTTATTGAGGAAACTGCCTATCACGTCCTTTCCGTGGGAGGATTTGATCAACGAGGATTATACAACGACTTTGGACAATATGTGTACAAAACATCCTGTTTATCATTTACTACTGGCAAAGCGCCATAGGTATGTACATCTACCTTGTCTACAATTTTTCTAATAGGATATACTGGGAAACAATTATCTAGTCAGCAACTTAGCCCAGCATTTGTAACAGAGAGATATGTATATAATACAAATTGCTCTCTCTCACACACACACACACACACACACACACGCACACACACACACACATGCACGCACGCTCACACACACAGGGAATGATGCAAAGGTTTTCCCATTCTTTCCTAGATCATTCAGTACTTTTATTTAACGAGCTTTGAGTAAAAAGGTTTTTTCATATTGCCTAATTAATGTGATTACTTTTTTAATCTTTTCAGTATTACTTCAACCACGTTCTATCACAGAAGGTGCGGAATATCCGATGGGCAAGGAACAAGAGGAGTGAGCAGATAAGTAATGAAACTGGTGGGAAAAGGAAAAAGCCGCACCTCAGTTTGGCCAAGATTGATGGTAAAATATGCAACTTACTTTCAGAAAATGCTAGTTGTGTTTATGAAGAATGTTTTGCATTGTCAAATTATACAGATGTACAAAGAAGTTAAGGAACCACGAAACATCCCTGGTTTTATGCACCAAATGTAATGTTTACTGTTTAGTGAAGACAAGGGAAAAGTAAATTTCGTTAAAACCCACATGTGCAATACCTGGGGGGTATTCTTAGCTTTTGAGTGTAATTTGAGTGATAATCATGAAACGTTTTGCTTAATGGTCTTAATAGGTGGGAGTGATATTAACAGTGAGCTTTGTTGTTGACAGAGGTCAAAGAAATGGACGTTGAGAAGGCGAAAAAGACCCTGGAATTGGAATGTTAAAAAACTAAGGAGCAGCAAGACAAAGCTCTTATAAGGAAAGACGCCACTTCATGGAGAATGTAGAAGAGGACAGAAACATCCAAGTTATCGTGAAGGCTCATCCTTTACTTAATATTGAAGGCTATGTAAGGTTACAGATATTTCTAATGATATGCAAGTTAATCAATCTTTTATTGAAATATTTTTTAGCTTACTTTGGCTGACTGACTGACTGAGTTTGGTTTTACGCCGCTTTTAGCAATATTCCAGCAACATCACGGCGGGGGACACCAGAAATGGGCTTCACACATTGTGCCCATGTGGGGATTCGAACCCGGGTCTTCGGCGTGAAGCTTACTTTGGATATTATTAGGTAGAGGGTGACTGTTGTAATAATAATCATATTATTTGTTTTAGCAATTATCAACATTCTTGTTTCAGTGTTTTCCCTAGGCGTAAACAGTCATCATGACTCCCTGGTGTCATGAGAGGGAGTAATGAACATGTTTTAGGGGGTGACCGGACAAAATCCACCCGGACAAAATCCACCCCAAAATTGCCACCTCGGACAAAATCCACCTCTTCTTAACACAAAAAATGGACAAAATCCACCCTTCTCAAATTGCTATTGTTAAAAGTTTTAGTGTGTCCTGATCTTTGATCAAGAGAATTTCTTCTCCTCAAGTCAAACTGGACTTCAAAAGGAGCACTAGTAGACCAGTTCACAGTATTCCTCACTAGTTTGGACAAACTCTATGCAACAGATATGTCTGGGGTGATGATTTATAGGTGACAATATTTATGTTCCAAAATCGATAAATCGACACCAACCTCTCTCTCTAACCCTCCCCACCCCTCAACATTCTCGTAATGTAATGTTACATGCTTTATAGTGCTCCTATATGATGGTATAGGCCATATTGTGTTATTATACAACCTTACATTATAGTTAGTTCAAAAATCATATTGCATTCTTCTCTACTAGACTGAAGAGGATCCTCATGATCCAGTGGACACAGATGAAGCTGTACTGGAGCTGCTCCTGACTACTGATGAGGAAATCAAGTATACCCCCCCAAAAAGCAAGAAAACTTTGCCCAGCACCATTTCCAAGGTTGATGTAAGTTGAAAATGAATATATTTAAAGTTTTAAGGTTTTTTTTCTATATTCCAACTTCAATTAATGTACGTTATGGATTTCAAAAAATCAATAAATAGTAGGATCAAGAATGCCTGGTACACATTCTAAGTTATTGACCATTTCATACTTGTAATGCAAAGGAAAGCCTGTTTTATTGTCAGCATTAAACCTTTGAAAAGATTTCTTTGAATAAATAAACTATTTAGAAAAAGATTAGCTGCATTGATAAGGTGGTTCTCACTTTGTCTTTCCAGGTGAAGAATGCTGACCTCTCAACTAAGAGGAAAGAATCCCCAAGGTTAACTGTTGTCACTACACAGGGGAAGATTGGAAGCTGCTTTGTTGTAACGGATGGAGCTTAGTGTCAGCAAAGATATCAAAGATGCGGTCCTGTCACTTGTGATGTCATACTATGCATGGGATCTTAGTTACCCCAAACATTTTCAGCTTCTGGGGCTTTGCAGTCTTTTGTTTTAAAGGACAGCACAGACTTTTTTTAAGAGTTCGGCATATACAAAAATTGCTAAGCAGCTGGAGCAATATTCAGCATAACTGAAAATGTTGTTTTAATGCCCCGGTCATATATAGCGGGCATATTGGATCACCCTTGTCCGTCAGTACATACATACGTAACCACTGTAAACAGGGTATTGTTTATCCACTTCTCCCAGTGCTCCACATAACTTTCTCTACTCAAGCCATACGACTCCCCATATTTTGAGTAGTGGAGCACTAGCATTACTTAAATTTTTGGGTCACTACATAATGTAAATATCGAAGGATTTGCAATTTCCAAACATTTAACCTGCAACCCCATTTTTCATAGTAGTGATTTGAAACTTAGAGCTACCAAAATAACTAGTTATGAAACTTTTCACAGATAACTAGGTAGATGGATTCAACTTGTTAGAAATGAAGGAGTCAGATATATTTCTAATGTTGCCCGGGAAGATTGGACCTGCCAGACAGACTGACTGACTGCATTACTATCCAGACTTGATGGTGAGCTAAAAGAGCAGGATCGAAAACATGCTAAATGAAGCAATTGTGGACAAGGTGAAACAGTATAGGAATCTATGGCTGACAATGGATCTTCTCTGACTGAACATGCTGAAAGTGAACCTCCTGTGATTGAAAGTGAAACACAGGTAATTCAAATCTGATAATTTCTGATAACTAAAACATAAATTTAATTTGTGGTTGGGAAAACAAAATAAATGATAAGAGTTAAAGACATTTTAAAAAGGAAAACGATGATAACTGTTCTTTTTTCTTGAATAAAATTATTGGGCCTTATAACAGGAATATATATATATTTACATTTATCATGTTTATTGCAAAAAAACCTTCCAATTATCAGTATTGCTTTTCAGGAGATTAGTATGGACCTGTCAGAAGAAACACAAACTGTCCAACCTGCCCCAAACAACTCGACAGAATCATCACCCCCAACATGCTCAGTGACAGGCTCTAAACTTTCAGTTGAATCTCTTCATCCTACTTACTCAAAGACAGTTCAGTCGTTGCTGGACAATGGCAAAATTATGGAGGAGTGATTCAAGTTTACTGAGGAAACTGCCTATCACGTCCTTTCCGTGGGAGGATTTGATCAACGAGGATTATACAACGACTTTTGACAATATGTGTAGAAAACATCCTGTTTATCATTTACTACTGGCAAAGCGCCATGGGTATGTACATCTACCTTGTCTACAATTTTTCCTAATAGGATATACTGGAAAACAATTATCTAGTCATCACCTAGGCCCAGCATTTGTAACAGAGATATGTATACATGTATAATACAAACTGCTCTCACACACACACACTGCACTTGCCGCGCACGCCACGCGACGCCACACACACACACACACACACACACACACACACACACACACACACACACACACACACACACACAGAATGATGCAAAGGTTTTCCCATTCTTTCCTAGATCATTCACATGATTCAGTACTTTTATTTAACGAGCTTAGAGTAAAAAGCTTTTTCATATTGCCTAATTGATGTGATTACTTTTTTAATCTTTTCAGTATTACTTCAACCACGTTCTATCACAGAAGGTGTGGAATATCCGATGGGCAACAAGAGGAGTGAGCAGATAAGTAATGAAACTGGTGGGAAAAGGAAAAAGCCACACCTCAGTTTGGCCAAGATTGATGGTACAAAATGCAACTTACTTTCAAAAAATGCTAGTTGTGTTTATGAAGAATGTTTTGCATTGTCAAATTATACAGATGTACAAAGAAGTTAAGGAGCCCCGAAACATTCCTGGTCTTATGCACCAAATGTAATGTTTACTGTTTAGTGAAGACAAGGGAAAAGAAAATTTTGTTAAAACCCACATGAGCCATACCTGAGGTATTCTTAGCTTTTGAGTGTAATTTGAGTGATAATCATGAAAAATTTTGCTTAATGGTCTTAATAGGTGGGAGTGATATTAACAGTGAGCTTTGTTGTTGACAGAGGTCAAAGAAATGGACGTTGAGAAGGCGAAAAAGACCCTGGTATTGGAATTTAAAAAAATCTAAGGAGCAGCAAGACAAAGCTCTCATAATGAAAGCTCAGAGAGCAACATTTAAGGAAAATCGCCACTTCATAGAGAATGTAGAAGAGGACGGAAACATCCAAGTTATCGTGAAGGCTCATCCTTTACTTAAAATTGAAGGCTATGTAAGGTTACAGATATTTCTAATGATAGGAAAGTTAATCAATCTTTTATTGAAATATTTTTTTTNAGCTTACTTGGGATATTATTAGGTAGAGACTGACTGTTGTAATAATAATAATATTATTTGTTTTAGCAATTATCAACATTCTTGTTTCAGTGTTTCCCTGAGGCGTAAACAGTCATCATGACTCCCTGGTGTCATGGGAGGGAGTCATGGACATGTTTTTGGGGTGACCGGACAAAATCCACCGGACAAAATCCACCCCAAAATTGCCACCTCGGGACAAAATCCACCTCTTCTTAACACAAAATGGACAAAATCCACCCTTCTCAAATTGCTATTGTTAAAAGTTTTAGTGTGTCCTGATCTTTGATCAAGTTGTTTTTCTCAAGCATTGTTTAGATAGCATTTACGTTTTCCTAATTGGTTGTTGTTCCTAGATGTTTTTGCAAGCCTGATTGGAGCCCTTTATACTCATGTTTTGATATAACATACTTTTTAATGAGTTTGAGATCATCCTGTTTATTTTAAATGAGTTTGAGATCATCTACATACTTTTTAATGAGTTTGAGATCATCCTGTTTATTTTAAATGAGTTTGAGATAATCTACTTACAAACAATGTGTGCGAAGGTTGGAACCACGCGTTTAAGAAACTGATAGGACATTCCCACCCTACTGTGTGGAGACTCATCGACTGTCTGAGAAAAGACAACGGTCTTGCGTGTACAGCCATCTACAGGTCCGAAAGAGGTCAGCCCCCTAAGAAAATGTGCTTACATATGTATTTTGGTTGTTTTTGTTATCGATTATGAATGACTGATATGAATAAAATTCATTTCTGTGACTAAACATGTCATTAGTTGTTTTTTTCTTAGGGTGGATTTTATTAGGGGTGGATTTTGTCCGGGTGGATTTTGTCCTAGGTTGCAATTTTGAGGTGGATTTTGTCCTGGATTCCTTTTAGGGAGTCAAATACGCAGGTTTTCTGCATCATGGGAAACACTGTTATTTATCATCCTCAAGGGGGTCTTTCAAGTCAAAATGATCATATTTGTATAACTGGATTCCTGTTACTCGATTTGTTTGCTTTAATGCTCACACTTTTGTCTATTTATAGGTTGTCAGAGAATTTCTTCTTCTTCAAGTCAAACTGGACTTCAAAAGGAGCACTAATAGACCAGTT